TTAAGGGGTAGCATACCCTAAAGATTTGCTTTAGGTCCAGTGTTGCCAGGCTGTAAGGATAGATAAAACTCAGATGAATCCAGAAGAAGAAGCAGACAGCTAATTGTGAAACAAACTCCAATAATGTAGCCCAGATTAGGGAGAGGGCAGTTGAATAAGATCTGACTATGGAAGTGAATTAAAGGGGCCAGTGAAATAATGTTTATTGAGTACCTCTCATAGGCCAAGAAACTATGCTAGATTAATTACATATGGCAACTGCTCATTCTATATGTACCACAACTCTGTGAAGAGAGAGTATTTTCCCTATTGTAAAGTAAAAATGTTGTGGCTTAGAGAGGCAGTACGACTCACCCAAAAATTCAGCTGAACAATAAATAGAGCAGGGATTTTGAACTCCCTATAATAATGCACAGTACTAGGTCTAGTCTCAACTGTTAATTGTAACGCCTGGGCAAATCCTCAATTTCTGGTTCTCAGTTTCTTTCTTGATTAAATAGGAATTATAATCTCTCTTCTTCCAATTTTATCTCCCAGGTTTAGAGAATAAAATAAGGTAGAGGACTTGCAATTGAGGTAAGGATCAAATCTGTGTTTCAGTAAAGTTACTCTTTGACCAGCAGTCCCATTTTTAGGGATCTTTCTTAAGGAAGTAATAGAAAACTGAACACATATTTATGTAAATACATGACCACTTTGATTTAATTTATAATAATTAAGAATAGAAAAGTAAAGGTACAATATTAAAGAATTGGTCATATGACACATACATAAGATGGAATACAATGTAGTCAATTGAAATGATATTTCTGAAAAGTTTTAAAGGTCTCAATTGTAAATAAACTATTGTGGCTGTTAGTTTTTGAAAAAAAAATGAAAAAATAGAAGTCTCAGAAAAAATATTTATGATATAATGTTAAGTGAAATATACATAGAAGTTACAAACAAGGATATATGGTATGCTGTCATTTATATATAGATAAAAAGTATAAATAGATTTCTATGTTTATATATACAAAAACTATCTCTGAAGGGTGCATAAATTGGTAACATGTTTGCCTTTGAGGAGAGGACCAGAGACTGGAAGTCGGAGTGGAAAGCACTATAAACCTTTACATATTATTTATTTTTTAAGTAAAAATTAAAATAATGCCAACTACAGATGGTGATAAGATAATGCTTGCAAATAGTAAAAGTTTGAATTATTTTCAACATATGTATTACCATTTATTTATTTGTTTGTTTATTAAAGGAGATAGAAGTTTATTGAATACACTGCAAGGGAGAGGTAGGCAGGACAGCAAAGGAGAGGCTGTCTGCCCGTATTACTTTTAAAATCAACAAATAATAAGATATAATTTAAAAACAGATGGTACTTTGTTGCATAAGAAAGTAACGGAGGAAAAAAAGGCAAGGGCACCTGGGTGGCTTAGTCAGTTGAGTGTCTGACTTTTAATTTTGGTTCAGATAATGATCCCTGGGTCGTGGGATCTAGCCCACAGAGGATCTAGGCCTTTGTGCTGAACGTGGAGCCTGCTTAAGATTCCCTCTCTTTCTCTCTCTCTCTCCCTCCCTCTTCCCCTCTGCCCCACTCATGTGCACTCTCTCTCTCTCTAAAAAAGAAAGAAAGAAAAGAATAAAGAAAATAAGGGAGAGAATACACTTAACTGTTAATGATGGCTGTTTCTGAGTAGATGGGGTATCTTACAATGTAAAACTTTCTGTTTTACACTCTTGTGTTCTTTTCTTTTTTCTTTTTATTTATATATTTATTTATTTTGAGAGAGTGCAAGCATGAGCTGGGAAGGAGCAGAGAGAGAGGAAGAGAGAGAGAATCCCAAGCAGGCTCTGTGCTGCAAGTACAGAGCCTGACTTGGGGCTCGAACTTACAAATCATGAGATCATGACCTGAGCTGAATGAAATCAAGAGTCAGACGCTTAACTGAACTGCTCAGGCACCCCTCTTGTGTTCTTTTCTAATTTTTTATAGTGAATTTATACTTTCAATGCAAAAATTCTGTCTTGTAAACAAACAATAATGACTGGCAGCAGAGTGGAGGATGGTGTGAGGTTGTTGTGGTTGCTTCCCTTGTTTTAGGTAGGAAAAAAAGCATAATTCCTTTGAATTGCCAATTCTGGAAACAGGCTCTCCATCTGGTACCATGAAAAGCTGAAAAGTTAGGGCTATGAGACAGTTTAAGCAAGCAATGGCATCCTCCCCTCTAATCTCACTTTCTTCTTCCGTGTAAATGCTCCAGGTGTCCTGGGCACGTTGCACACCCAATAGTGAGTGTTGATCTGGGGCAGATTGATTATGGGAGTGGGGCCAAGGGTCTCAGATAAGGGCTTGAGAGCTGGGAGAAAAGAGAAAGGAAGAACAGAGGCCACCAGAGGCTAGTGGTGGCATATTTAAGAAAGTATTATTAAAGGGCTGCTATTAGGGGCACCTGGGTGGCTCAATCGGTTAGGCATCCAATTTCGGCTCAGGTCCTGAATTCGTGAATTCGAGCCCCACACCTGGCTCTGTGCTGACAGCTTGGAGCCTGGAGCCTGCTTCGGATTCTGTCTGTCTGCCTGTCTGTCTGTCTGTCTGTCTCTCTGTCTCTCTCTCTCTCTCTCTGCCTCTACCCTGCTCGCATTCTGTCTCTGTCTGGCAAAAATAAATAAACATTAAAAAAAATTTTAAAGGCCTGCTAATAATCCCATATATTTCTTTGACCTTTCTTCAAGAGAGCTTTAAATCTTCTACGTTTGTCAGTTCCTTGTCCTTACAGCTCACCTGAGAGACCCATAGACTTAAACCCACCAGCCAAACTCTCTTTCTTTTCCTTTGAAGAACAAAAACAGGAATTCCCAAAGAGAGTGACACCCTGGACATTATCTCATGTTAGGGCTGTGTTCCCACCCTCCTTTGACCACTTATACAGCCTGCCCAAGAACCCAGTGCTGAGCATAAGGGGTGACTGCAGGTAGAGAAGTAGGGTACTTACTTATTCCAATAAGACTATGGGACCAAGTGCTGGATTATGGGGTTCAGATCCAAAGTGTTCTAGGAAAAGAGAGGATGGTGGCAGGTGTGAGGGAGCTGGGGTCTCAGGGAAGGCCTGGCACATAAATAAATACTTGCTGATGAGTATATGGATGAGTGAGCAAATGAACAAATAAATAAACAAAGGATCTGGGCTTTAAAGGATTGGAATAATAATAACTTATGTTCACAGCTGTGAGGGCTTTATCAGTTTATTAAGGTCTTCCTTAGTGTTATCTCATTTGGGTCCTATAACAGCCCTGTAGGAAAAGCAGGGCAGAAATTGTCCTCTCCATTTTCCAGATGATGAGATTGAGTCCCAGAGTGATGAGTGACTTTTATTAATCCAGCACACATTTACTGAGTGCTGATTATGTACGAGTACTTGTGCTAGAAGCTAGAGATGCAGAAATGAAGTACATTAAGTCCAAGATGCTTGGTCTAAAGGAGGAACTGGAATAGTAAACAGTTTCTAAATGACACCAGTGCTGTTAGTGTGGTCTGGGGGCATAGAAGCAGGAGTGCGTGCCTTTATCATGCACAACGGAAGGTGAGATTTCATTTGGATCTATAAGGATGAATAGGAGTTTATTAAGAGTCTTGTAAACAGAAAGAATACATGTCTAAAGGGATAAAGCAAGAAATAACATGGCTTAGAGTAAAGTGTATAATTTGGTATAAAAGTGGCACTGGTTGGTAGAGAGAAAGCCTAGAAGAAGATCAAGTTTATTTTTTGGTAAGTTGGTTCTTTGGGCTTGATTTTTAGAGTTGTGGGGAGCCATGAAAGTTTTTAAAAAATTTTTTTAATGTTTATTTATTTTTGAGAGAGAGGGAGAGACAGAGCGTGAGCAGGGGAGGGGCAGAGAGAGAGGGAGACACAGAATCCGAAGCAGGCTCCAGGCTCTGAGCTGTCAGCACAGAGCCTGACACGGGACTCCAACTCACGAACTGTGAGATTATGACCTGAGCCGAAGTCGGACGCTCAGCTGACTGAGCCACCCAGGCGCCCCTTTGAAAGTTTTTGAAACAGGGGAATGATAGCCCCATGCTGGGCCTTTCCTGGAATATTCATATGTTTACTGTTTTGACTTTTTCTTTTCAAAACTCAGCTCAGGAGCTGCCTCCTACAAGAGACTCTTCCTGACCACCATGCCTCTAGGTTGGGTTAGATGTTAGATGTTTCTTGTGGGCTTCCTGGGCCAAGCCTTCCCTCTGTCCTATCACCTATCTACTGCCTTGTTACCCTGTGTTTATATGCTTTTCTACTCTAATCTGTGGCCACTCAGAGGTTATAGCACCATGTCTGATTCATATTTGTATTCCCCATACCCAGCACAAGGCTTGACCCAGAGCAACGTGCTCAGTAAATATTTGCTGAAAGAATGAATGGGAGGAACCGGGTTCCACCCCAGTCCTGAGACAACATTTGGAGCAGGTGTAGTACTGGGGTGATTCTATGGTGTGTGTGTTTCTTCAGTGATGCTTGGGTGGAGAGAGTGTATGTGAATGGTGGAGTAACCATTAAAGATTGGTGACACTGGAGGTGTGTTCCTCCTGAGTGACCACAGGTCTTTCCTATAGATGGCTTCTGTGACTGATGGTAAAGCCGGAGTCAAAGATGCTTCTGACCAGAATTTTGACTACATGTTCAAACTGCTCATCATTGGCAACAGCAGTGTTGGCAAAACCTCCTTCCTCTTCCGCTATGCCGATGACACCTTTACCCCAGCCTTTGTCAGCACTGTGGGCATCGACTTCAAGGTGAAGACAGTCTACCGCCATGAGAAGCGAGTGAAGCTGCAGATCTGGGTGAGTCCTGAGCATCTTGCGCAGGATTCTCTTGGGGGGTGATTGGTCTGCTAGTACAAGAGCTGGGAGGCAGGCCAGTCTGGAACTTCTGGGTCTTATGGCATCAAGCACCAGTGCTGTTGAAGGCCTGGCCCCTGGACTGCCCCTTGCTGCTTTGATAGAAGTTTGCTCGCTTCTGGGGCCTCAGCTGTTTCTGCTGCTTAACTTTCTAAGAGGCTTTATCCTGCCTATACAAATGAGTGACCAAGAATTTGGGCTTTGGGGTTAGAAATTTGGATTCAACTTCCAGTTCTGCCACTTATTAGTTATGGAATCTTGACTAAATATTTATCTTCTCTAGGCCACCCTTTCCTCTTTGGGGGTGTAGCATCGACATCATAGGGCTGTTGGTGCTTAGCATACTTCGTGGAACGCAGTAAATGCACTGTAAATGTTAGCTCCTGTGTCCATAATCTATTACTGTGTAATAAATCACTTCAAAACTTGATGGCTTAAAATAACAGTAATTAATTATTACACAGTTTCTGTGGATGAAACATTTGGGGGTGGCTTGGTTTCTGTCTTGTTGCCTCTTATGAGGTTGCAGTCAGATATTGGCTTGGGTTGTCATCTGAAGGCTTGAATGGGGCTAGAGGATCCCATTCCAAAGTGGCTTACTCATGTATCAGGTATTGGCTATTAGCAGGAGGCCTTAGTTCTTTCCCATGTGGTTCTCTCCATGGAGTTGTGTAAGTGCCTTCATGGCATGGCATCTGGCTTCCCCCAGGGGGAAAGATCCAAGAAAGCAGAGAGGAAGTGACAATGTCTTTTATTACTTAGCCTTAGAGTATCTTTTGGTCACTGATTCAGTGTAGGAGGAAATTACATAAGGGTATGAATCCTGGGAGGTGAGGATCATTGGGGACCACCACAGCTACTATTATTGGTATTTACCAGTGGTACTAATAAAATATATACATCTTTGAGATGATATAGCAAAATGTAGATCATATGCTTTTCAATAATGAATTATTGCCAGGATTAGATATTTTGAAAATTAGTGATTTTTAGTATTCAAAGCATGTGTTGTTTATGATCTCTCCATTCAACCTGATACATTGTGCACATATCTTATTGGCTATATACAGTACTTTTCTTTTTATAAATTATCTCCATATGTTATTATCTTCTGATTAACCCCAAGGGACAGATATTATTTTAATTCACTCCTATTTTACAGAAGAAAAAAAGTCAGACTCAGTAATTAACTTGCCTTAAGTCAACCACACAGTTGCAAAGTGGGATTCCAATTGAGGCCTTCTGATTCCAAGTTTTGTGCTCTTTTCTCTACACTGTGCATGTTAGGTCTTATAGAGCCCTTATTTCCATTTATGATAATGTTAAGTATTAATTTATATAGAGATAAAAGTTTATTTTGTTCATTTAGTCTTTATTAAAATCACTGAGGAATTGTGAGTTATTAGAAATATGAGAAGCTAAAAAGACCACTCAGTTCATTAGTTCTAGAAGTGTGGTCTTCAGGTCATCAGCATCAGCATTACCTGGGAATTTATTAGAAATGCAAATTCTCAGGCCCCTCCTCAGACCTACTTAAATGAGAAACTTTGAGCTATGGCCTAACAATGTGTATTAATTATAACAAGCCTTCCAGGTGGTGTTGAGGCAGGCTAAAATTGAAGAACCACTTTGGTTTAACTACCATTTGGTTTAACTGTCTTATGGTGAGAATCAATAAGCATTTATTAAGTACCTATTATGTGCCAACTGCTTCCACTTGTGTAATCTGACATCCTCTTGGCAGCCAATGCACAGAGAAGTGAAAGCACAGGATATTGGGGGGTGGTGAGCAATACAGGGGAACTGGAACAAGGCTGTGAAGAGCAGGGAGGGGTGCTAAGAGGGAAATTTGCTGGAGAGGCTGTTAGGCAGTGGCTTGAGGGTAAGGGAGACCTTGCACAGCAAACAGAAGTTTCTTACCATGGGCCAGAGTTTACATACCTGACGATTCTTTAGAGACCTGAAGAAACTATTAGGAGTTTTTTTTTTTTTT